TGGTAGGGGGTGTGCAGGAAGCAGCCATTTGATGTTATGCTCTCACATCAATGTTTCTCTCTTCTCCCTTCCTCTCTTTCTAAAAATCAATAGACTATTTAAAATATATATATATATATATATATATATATATATATATATATATCCCATCTATGTACATAGATGTAAAAATCCTCAAAAAATATTAGCACACCAAATTCAACAATACATTAAAAGGATCATATACCATGATCCAGTAAAATTTATTCCAGGATTGCAAAAATGGTCCAATATCCACAAAACAAGAATCATAATACAACACAACAAAACAAAAATAAAAATCTTATAACCATCTCAATAGATGCAAATAATCATTTGACAAAATATAACATCCATAAAACTTTCAACAAAGTGGAACTAAACAGAACATATCTCAATATAATAAAAACCACATATGACAAACCCAGAGCTTACACACTCAATGGTGAAAAGCTAAGAGCATTTCCCCCTAACATCCGGAACAATGTTATATTAGTTTCAGGTGTACAACATAGTGATTCAACATTTATATATCTTATAAAGTGATCACCACAATAATTTTAGTAACCATCTGTCACCATACATAGTTATTACAAAGTTATTGACTCTATTTCCTGTGCTGTATATTACACCCCCATGACTTATTTTATAATTAGAAGTTTGTACTTCTTAACCCCCTTCAACTTTTCTGCCCATCCCCAATCCCTCTCTCCTCTGGCAACCATCAGTCTGTTCTCTCTATGTAGCACCTCATACCTGTCAGAATAGCTATGATCAAAAAGTCAACAAATAACAAGTGTTGGCAAGAATGTAGAGAAAAAGGAAACTTGTGCACTGTTGGTGGGATTGTAATTTGGTGCAGCCACTATAGCAAACTGTATGAAGGTTCCTCAAAAATATTAAAATTAGAACTACCATTCGAATCAGCAATTCTACTTTTGGGTATTTATCCAACCAAAACAAAAATACTAATTCAAAAAGATATTTGTACCCCTATGTTAATTACAGTATTATGTACAATAGAAGTGATACATACATACACACAGAGACAAATGGAATATTACTCCGGTATAAAAATAATAAAATCTTGCCAGTTGCATAAACATGAGTGAAGATAGAGATTTTATGCTAAGTGAAAAAGTCGTACCCAGAAAGACAAATACCATATAATTACACATATATGTGTAATCTAAAAAAACAAAACAACCAACCAAAACAAAACAGAAACAAACTCAAAGAACATAAAATGGATAGCTTCCCCCAAAGAAGAGTTTTGGCTGAATAGGTGAAAAAGATAAAGAGAAATAAATAAGAGATCCAGACTTTTAGTTACATAATAAGTCACTGGGATGTAACTTACAGCATAGAGAAAATAGTCTATAATATTACAATAAGTTTATGACAGTTGGTTACTATACTTGTTTTGGTTAACACATTGTAAAATACATAAATGTAAAAATCACTGTTTTACACCTGAAACTAATATAATATTGTATGTCAACTATACTTTAATTTAAAAAATTAAACTTTTTTTTTTTAACTGAGAAAGAAAATACCTGCTCTTTAAGGAGTGACCATCTGATGGGTTCACCTCACTCACGGGGTATAATCAATCACCCTAGTACACCCCCCTGCCCCACCAAGACTCACCCTAATGTTAAGGAGAACCCAGCCTGAGTCACACCTTCACTCTAAACACAGGGACTCCAACCAAAACCACTGTAAGGAGAGCTCCATTCTCAAACTCCTGCTCCCAAACAACAAGGAATGACTGAAACTGCCAACCCAGAGTCCTCTGAGCACAGAACCCAGGCTCTGTGAGGTCAACAATGCAACACAGGGCAGCACAGCTCAGGGGAGGGGCTCCCCAGCAAGCAGCAGCCCCAGAGCAGGAGCCTCCTGGTTCTTATCAGCCTGGCAGGTAAGGACAGGGGAAGAGGGAAGGGCGAGGCTTAAATTTTCAGTAAACAAATATCAAACACGTGGAGCTGACCACTTATGACAAGAACAAACCAAGTAAGAAAAATAGGCATTAGCTCTGGCCTGTTTTTATATAAATAGGGGGTAATACAGAAGAGACTGAAATATTGTGCTGTGGATGGCTAGCTTACAGCACTGTAATGGACCAGGATATGTGGTCAGGAAGTCTTCTTGTTGATTTCTATCTTAGAAATTTAATCAGCCTTCCTTCCAATGCACTACTTGTTTAAAATAAGGAGAAATTATATAAATATATAATATATAAAAATATATATATACCATTATTTCCTATGTGTAATCATTATTTTAAATTAATTTTTACTTTTTAAAATTAATCCAATTTTAACTTTTCTCTACAGAATACTACTCTAAGATGTAATCCTTTAAACACTAAAAAATATAAAACTCCAAACCAGGGGTCCTCAAACTTTTTAAACAAGGGGCCAATTCACTGTCCCTCAGACCGTTGGAGGGTCGGACTATAGTTTAAAAAAAAACTATGAACAAATTCCTATGCACACTGCACATATCTTATTTTGAAGTAAAAAAACAAAACGGGAACAAATACAATATTTGTATTTGCATGTGGCCTGCGGGCCGTAGTTTGAGGACCCCTGCTCCAAACCATCAAAAATTCCCAAATTCCTTTCTGGTAAAAAGCCAAGGGACATTATAATAGTTTGTCCACTGTATTTTACACTTGGGATATTTTTGAGATTGAGTAGTATATTATAATGCATTAGGGGTTTGCAATAAAGCCCTGAAATGAACTAGAAAATTCAAATGTATCCTTTTTCGTTGTTTTTCTTACTACATCAATGAAAATAAAAATTCAACTGCTTTTTCCTCACATCCATTCAAATAGAAATTCTTTTAAATGTCAAATTTCTTTAAAGTCATGGACATATAAAAACTGACCTAAAAATAAAAAAATCACCTGATAACTTAAAAATACTCTTCTCCCCTCTTCAGGCTCTCTTCCATAATAAAACCAAAATTATATTCGGTTCCACAATTATCTTGCCTTATATATACAGTATCTTTCTATCAACTTACATATTAAAAGCACAAGTGTTAATGAAATCTAGATTCAAAGAGCTGCAATATTCAATGGAGAAAGGAATCCAATGAAAGTAAACAGCAATATTGGAATCAAGAAAGGTACACAGCTGCTTCCCTACAGTTCAGAAGGAAACCCACACCCAGAAAATGGACTGTTTCCACTAAGGATCTAGACACCCCCTGCTGAGATAAAGCCCCTGCAGTGGGTCAGTCCCTGGGGCAGGACATGGGTGACACCTGAGCAGCCCCAGGAGTGAGCTCTCTGGGAGCTCCACACCCTCCCCTCGTCTGTAAGCATGGAAATGCTCCCTGAGGCTTCCATTCTCACAGGTGAGGCAACTCACAGCCTGATTCAGTTTTAAGTTCTGATCCAAATGAACCCCCAAATCCATAAACATTTTGTCCACGAGACAACAAAGTACCTGATCTGCATAGACCTTCTCAATGTCTATAAATTATACTCTGAATGCAAACCTCAACATAAAATCTAGAAATGGCTGGGACTAAGGATCCACAACCACAACCACAACCACAACCACAGACAGAGCATCAGCACCCACCTTCACCCAAGGCCCTGCATTGCATCCCCACTTCCCGCTCTGGAGCTTTTCTTAGAATCTACTTCAGCAATTCTGCTCTGTAAGGCTAAGCCCTGGGATTGTTTTTTAAAACTCCCCAAAATAAAACAACCTCAGAAACTTACTACACATGCTCAGGAAGAGTGAGAGAAAAATTCTAGAAATGGAACGTAATACTAAAAAAAAATTTTTTTTCCGAATTCTACTCTTTTTTGGTTATTTGGAACTCTTTTATATTGTCTTTCACGTTCTAGTGATTACATACATTTTACTCCTATTAAAAACTGAGACTTGCCCGGCTGTGGTGGCACAGTGGCTTGAGCATCATCTCACGGACCAAGAGGTCCTGGGTTCGATTCCCAGTCAGGGCACAAGCCTGGGTTGTGGGCTGTGGGGGTGTGAAGGAGGCAACGAATCAATGAATCTCTCTCATCATTGATGTTTCTGTCTCCCCCTCTCCCTTCCTCTCTGAAATCAATAAAAATATTTTTTTAAAAAACAAAAACAGTCCTAACCGGTTTAGCTCAGTGGATAGAGTGTCAGCCTGCGAACTCAAAGGTCCCAGGTTGCATTCCGGTCAAGGGCATGTACCTTGGTTGTGGGCACATCCCAAGGAGGGGTGTGCAGGAGGCAGCTGATCAATGTTTCTTTCTCATTGATGTTTCTGACTCTCTATCCTCCCTTCCTCTCTGTAAAAAAATCAATAAAATGTATTTAAAACAAAAAACAAAACTGAGACTTAGCCAGGCCTGCGTGGCTCAGTGGTTGAGCGTCCATCTATGAACCAGGAGGACAGAGTTGATTCCTGGTCAGGGCACATGCCAGATCCCCAGTGTGGGGTGCACAGGAGGCAGCCCATCAATGATTCTCTCTCATCATTGATGTTTCTATCTCTCTCCCTCCCCCTTCCTCTCTGAAATCAACTAAAATATATATATAAATATATATATATATTTTTTAAAAAAACAAAAAACTGAGATTTAAATAAGTCAGTAAGTGTTTTCAAAGTGATCAGCCCAGGGAAGGGGCCGTGCTGACGGGGCACAACACCCGGGAAAGTTTCCAAAGAGGGAACCTCCCCGCCCCCCGCCCCCCGCCCCCCCCCACCCCGTCAGAGGACTTCCCCTGTGTCTGTGCCAGGGAAGGTCCTGGGCGAGAGGAAGGCGGACTTCCTACGTCTTCTAGGTGATACTCTCGGCTTCCCTCTCACGCAAAATATCCAGACAAATGTAAATCTCTAAGGAAGAGCATTCCGTCATTATTCCGTAAAAAATTTTAAGTAGTGGGGAGGAGGGTCAATCGGGGGAAAGGAGACATATGTAATACTTTAGACAATAAAAAATGTTGTTAAATAAAACATACGAAATATTGAGTCTGTTTGAAACGCACCCCGGAGGCTAGTCGGTCATGATGCTGTGACTCAGGAGGAAAGCTGGCGTTGGGAATCCGAGGACGGACCTGGAAATGCAGAGATTTACCGCCAGTTTCAGTAAAGGCCAATTTGGGGGACCAGGGTCCAGGATTTGAGACCCTGCTTCCCAAACATTTAAGAAAACTCATAAAAAGACGGTTCCCCCTGCGGAGAGAGGAGCGACGACCCCACAGACCACAGCTCCCGCCCCTGCAGCGGCCCCGCAGGCCGAGTCACAATGGTCCCTGTTGACCCCACCCCCACCCCCCACCCCGGGGTCCCCGCACCATCTGGGGAGACGCGGGCGGCCCACGGAGCCCGCGGCTGGAGTCCCCGCGCAGGGACGGGACGGGACGGGACGGGACCGGATGGGACGGAACTCCGGGTCCTGCTCTGGGCCCAGCCCCCCGCCGTGCGCCGAGGGGGACGCGGGGCCAGCGGAGCCCAAGCGGAAAGCGGACTCGGTCCGCAGACTCCGACTTGACCGAGGGGTGGCCGTCCGACCACGGCCGGCTCCAGCCAGTTCCAGCCAGTTCCAACCATCCCCTCCTCCCCGTGCCTCACGGGGCCCCCAACACTCACCATTTCCAGGTTTCCTAGGTCTCCCCGAGTCCCGCCTAAACTTCCTCTCCGCGTGCGGATCACCGCGCCGCAGAGCCTGCAACAGGGGCGCCAGGGACCGTTAAGCACAGGCGACCAGCACTCCCCAGCCGGGCGGACGGCGAGAAGTCCACGCCCCTGTGGTGCCTCGCCCCACCCACCTGCCCCGGCAGCACCCCTGATTGGACAGTTGCTGATGACGCGCCCCCTCTGCCTGAGTGACAGCCCCCCGCAGGACCCTGACTCGGACCTGAAACTGAACTTATCCTGGCCTGGCTGGGGCTGATTGCACTGTATTTGCCCAGCGCTTTGTGAACACGTGGGCGCAGGTGTGCACAGGGAATTCCTGATTCAGTTTCCAGATCGTGCAAGAAAGTACAGAACACGAGGCTGTCCCCGGCCAGGTCACACTGGAACAAGAGGGTTTTTGTTCTCTCCAGGTCAAGGGCTTGGTGCAAGGCCGTCTCCTGGCACTGAGACTCCTTAGAAACAGACACCTAAGGCGACCTCACCGTCGGTAATAAGGAGTCTGGCTCCATTTCGATCTTTGATGCTTCCCAGCAACCCCTTCCTCACCCCCAGTCATTCTGCCCTTAAGAGAAAGAATCTAAGAGCACTTGGCTCAGGTGGGGAGTTGGAATCCTGATGCCCTAGCCAGGGTGCAAGAACTCTTAGTCTAACCACAGGGTGTGAGATGTGTTAATTATATTTTTAGCTGTACATTTTACACTGGTAGGAAATTTAATTTACTTTTTGCCTGTGTCTCTAGAGAACTCTGAAATGTAAACGACTAACTATCCCTAAGACAATTGATTTCCATTTTCAGTGACGTAAGAGAAACAATAAATGGTTATGTAAACTTGGGATGCATCTGGAAACTTTCTCTTCTCTTCCAGCTTTATTGAGGTTTAATTGACAAATCAAATTGTCTATATTTAAAGATCACAACATGACGATTTGATATATGTATACTTGACTGTATACTTGAAATTTGCTAAGAGTGGATTAAGCTTTCTCATCACACACATATACACAAAGTAACTCTGAAACAATGGATATTTTAATTAATCTGGAAGCACTTATATGCCTAAGTGATTGGATTGCAAAACTGTTAATGCATTTACTTATTTATATGAACAGCTTTATGATATATAATGCACATATTATACAGTGCAACCCACGTAAAAGGTACAATTCAACAGGTTTTAGTATATTCCCAGGTGTGTGCCATCAACCCCACAGTTAGTTTTTAAACATTTGGCCTCTCCAGAACAAACTCCTCTACACTTTACGATACTCCCAACGTCCCCATCTTCCTCCTCCAATCCCCAGCTTTAGAAACCCCTAATCTACTTTCTGTCTCTAAGTATTATTAACTTATTTGGGTACTCAAATGAATAGAATTATATACTATATGATCTTGCGATTGACTTCATTCACTCAGCATAATTATTTTCAAGGGACAACCATGTTGTAGCATGTACCAACACTTCATTTGTTTTTATGGCCAAATAATATTCCATTGTATAGGTAAAACACTTTGTTTATCTGTTCATCTGTTAAGAGACATTTTGTTTTTACTTTTTGGTTACTATTTAAAATATATATTTTATTGATTTTTTACAGAGAGGAAGGGAGAGGGATAGAGAGTTAGAAACATCGATGAGAGAGAAACATCTATCAGCTGCCTCCTGCACACCCCCTACTGGGGATGCACCCCGCAACCAAGGTACATGCCCTTGACCGGAATCGAACCTGGGACCCTTCAGTCTGCAGGCCGATGCTCTATCCACTGAGCCAAACCGGTTAGGGCAACTTTTTGGTTACTATTAATAACACTGCTCATTGCAAGGAGAGTGATGGTTGAGAAAAATATGCAGTTTCAACTGTTGCTTTTTATATAAAAAACTATAATAGGATGCTCAAGAAATCCAACACTGGTTATTAAGGGTGGCTGAAGCAAGAGCACTGAGGGGGTCCAGGATACTCCTGTGGTAAGTCTACTTTACACCTTATCTAACAGATATTTTTAAATAATAAAATAATAAATATTTTAAAAAAATATTTTATTGATTTTTACAGAGAGGAGGATAGAGGGATAGAGAGTTAGAAACATCAATGAGAGAGAAACATCGATCAGCTGCCTCCTGCACACCCCCCACTGGGGATGTGCCCAAAACCAAGGTACATGCCTTTGACCAGAATGGAATCTGGGGCCCTTCAGTCCGCAGGCCGATGCTCTATCCACTGAGCCAAACTGGTTAGGGCTCGAATTCTATTTTTTTAATATATTTTATTGATTTTTTTTTTTTTACAGAGAGGAAGGGAGAGAGATAGTTAGAAACATCGATGAGAGAGAAACATCGATCAGCTGCCTCCTGCACATCTCCCACTGGAAATGTGCCCGCAACCAAGGTACATGCCCTTGACCAGAATTGAACCTGGGACCTTTCAGTCCGCAGGCCGACGCTCTATCCACTGAGCCAAACCGGTTTTGGCTCAAATTCTATTTTAAAGCACCTTACTCCCACACAAAGGAGAAAGAACAGACCCTAGAGCAGCGGTTCTCAACCTGTGGGTCGTGACCCCTTTGGCAGTCGAACGACCCTTTCACAGGGGTCGCCTAAGACCATCCTGCATATCAGATATTTACATTACGATTCATAACAGTAGCAACATTACAGTTATGAAGTAGCAACAAAAATAATTTTATGGTTGGGTCACAACATGAGGAACTGTATTTAAAGGGCCAGAAGGTTGAGAACCACTGCCCTCGAGGGTGGTTTCTTAGTCAAGACAGAGTAGCAAGAAAAGCCTGTAGGGGCCTGAGTCCTTCTTTTTAGTCCCCTTTCTCCGTAAGAAGAATCACAAGTTGGAAGGAAGAAATGCTGCACACATAAAAATCAAGGTTCAAGAGAATTTAACATGTTCCTGAAATATAAAAGAACTTTTGTTATCTATTAATTATTTTGAATATACATGCATACTATTTTAAGTGTAGTTGTGAGTTTTCACAAATACATAGTAACAGTACCATTAAAAGGTGGAGAATACTCCATCGCCCCAAAAGGCCACTCCTGTGATGCCCATTTCTGTAGGGAGCGGCTATAGGGTTTAGCCTCGGACTGACCTGTTGGCAAAGCCACAAATAAGTCCCAGCTTAGAGGGCAGAGCCCTCTTAGCATAATTAAGCTTGACCTTATGATGCTCCTCTGGTAGCTAATGGGCTGTGGGAGGTGCAGCCAGTGCTGCCAAAACAAGTGAAACTCACAAGAACACTGTAACTATGTTGACCACTACTTTGTTTACTTCTGACTATAAAATAAAGGCTCAGCTTGCATCTGGATCTCTCTCTGTGGCCTCAGCCAGACACAGGAAGATCTACCTAGACCCAGCTTATTCTCTTTGCCTGTCTTTTCTACATCCTTCGCCCTGACTCCCCACCCCCCACCCCCCCCAGGCTCACCAAACCCTTGACTGTGCTGGCACGGCACGCATTTCTACTAACCCCCTCCAAAACATAAGTAAGCACTTTAAAAAAATGGAAATGATTGCATTTCTGTTGCTCCTTATTAAAACTCAAAGCAGTTACTTTGTTTTGACCCTCTCTATAAGATGTGCTAGAAGTCCAAGAATATAGAAATGTACCTGTGACCAGGAAATGGGCTATGGGTCTTTGTGGATCCCTGAAACAAAAATCTTCCAGCTACTCCTGCTACAAAAAGACATTAAAATTTTTTCCATATCTCCTTTTACACTACCTTAAGATATTACTCAAATTGATATAATTTGTCTGCAGTTCACCTCAATTATTCCTTGGATGATTGCTTTCTAAATACCCTTACCTCTTTTGGGGATTTTTAGCGAGAAATCACACTGGGCATGCCTAGTTATCACCTTACTCAGAGAATAATAAACTCAGGATGGGTTAGAATAGTGCAGGTGAATGTAACTTCCTCTAATTGGGAGGAACTGCATAGTTTAATGGGATATATATTGCATCAGTCTAAATAGCAGCACAAAAAAATGCCAATTACATTAAAAATCTTTAATTAAACATATATTAAAATCCTCTTAAATGATGTTAAACACAAAAAGATACCACAAATATCTGTGGCTCAAATCAGGGGCGATCTTGAGTCTCACATAACCATCTTGAAACGCATCGTCACATATCACATACAGAAAAGAGTTAACTGTAAAAATGAACCATGTGTATATAGCTATCTTTATGGGGAATCTTTTCTGTTAATCACAGGAAAGGCGGACTTTAGGTATTTCTGCCCTCTATTTACTTGCACAGCCAAACAATTCCTAAAACTGTGGACTAGACTGATGAGAAAACAGCTATTTTAAGTTGCTGCCCTGGCATATTACAGTGTGATAACCCTGCCCACACCCAATGTCTCCACACTTAGATAAAGACCTGAGGTTAGGCTCCCACCCCAAGTTACCGTTTTGCTTTGGGGGAGGGGGCACTGATTTAAAAAACTCCTCCCCAACTATCTAATAAGTAATGGTGCTTGCTACCCTGCTCTCTATCTCCTGCTTGCTGATGACTTAGGTGTCAGGACTGCTTCCCCCCCTCACCTCCCAACCTCCCGTTCATTGCGCCGCCCACACACACCTTTGTTTCTGGTATCTGTAAGTAATAAATCTTGTAACTACACTTCTGTGAGTGTACTACACCATGCCTTTCATCAGAATGACCCTGGAGTTTTACTTCCACAATGTGGGAGATGGGATGCTACAGAAAGCTACCTGATGCCCCTGTGTGGCTGGCTTGTGCTTTTTTATTCAGCAAGTCATAATCTGGCTACTGTGAACTTAATACACAAGTTCTGGCTTGTCAGCACAGGGGTAGATAGATTTCACTAAAATAATCCAGGCTGCCGAAACCGGTTTGGCTCAGTGGATAGAGCGTCGGCCTGCGGACTGAAGGGTCCCAGGTTCGATTCCGGTCAAGGGCATGTACCTGGGTTGCGGGCACATCCCCAGTGGGAGATGTGCAGGAGGCAGCTGATCGGTGTTTCTCTCTCATCGATGTTTCTAGCTCTCTGTCTCTCTCCCTTCCTCTCTGTAAAAAATC